AGGCTCGGGGGAGGGGGGCCGTCTGAGGGAGCCCTGCGCCCCTAGCCCCCGAGGCCTGGACGCGGCGGGTCTGCGCCCTGGGACGGCCGCCTCGGGCCTCTCTTTCCCGTCGGAGCCCGCAGTCCCGGCCCCGGGCGCCGGGCGTGCGGGGAGGGGACGGGAAAGGAGAGAAAAGCTGATGGAAAGCGTGATCATCGCTGCCCCGAGGCAACCCTCGGGACATCATCTCCATTTCTCCGCGGCGGTGGCGGCGGGTCGGGAACGCAGGAGCTGGGGGGCTGCACCTGGATCGGGGTGCTAGGTGTGCACCACTGGGCAGCCCTCCACAGGGGACCACGGTCAGAAACCAGGCAGGCCGGGCGCCCGTGCCAAGCCTGTCATCCTAGCTACCCAGGAGGCTGAGATCTGAAGACCGCGGTTCAAAGCCAGCCCAGGCAGGAAAGACCAAGAGAATCTTTACCTTCAGGGAACCACCAGAAAACCGGAAGTGGAGCTGTGGCACCAAGTGGTAGAGTGCTAGCCTGGAGCAGATGGAGGTCAGGGACAGCGCCCAGGCCCTGAGTTCAAACCCTACGACTGCGATTTTCCCTTCATCCTGTGTTCCCTTGGGTTTGAGACCCTCCCTTGTCTCGTATTAACGTTTGGGGGCCTCACCACTCACAGGTGAGACTCCTCTGGGGCTCACGTTCCCCCACTCTAGTGCCCAGGGAGTGCTCCGCGTCAGGAACTGGCCACTCTCTCTCCAGTGACAAGCTCGACATGGTGGCCTGGAGGGTCCAGCACGATGAAGAGGCTGAATTAAATGTCCTGCACAAACCATGCACTCCTGGAAGCCTTGCCACTCTTCCTGAAGGAAACCCTTAAACCACTCTTCTACCCAAGCAGGATTTGCCCTGTGTATGCCACACCCTCCTCCCCCACCAATAAAAAAGATTCCTCTCCTCTTCTGTTGTCTTTGCTCCTGGCCCAATGGGAATACTCTCCTCCCTTTCTCATCCAACCCCCCCCCCTTAGCAAGGAGGTCTTCCTTCAGGAAGGGCAGCATCCCCCCCCCCCAGCTGCCCACATGCAATCTGGGATATGTCTCCTTTTTATGGATTTTCTAGCATGTTCTGCAGTCTCTGGCATACTGGTGACCCCAATGCTGGAAAGAAGCAAGCAAACATTGGGAAAGAAAGGGTTTGGGCCCATTTGAGTCCTGCTTCCTTTTTACCTAGAGGAGTCTTAATGAAATGGGAGACCAGCCACTTCTGGAAATGTTACAAACACCTACATCAGCTGGGTGTCAGTGGCTCACACCTGTGAACCCTAGCTACTCAGGAGGCTGAGAGCTAAGGATCAAGGTTTGAGGCCAGCCTGAGCAGACAAAAGATTATTTCCAGTTGTCTTCAGTAAACTGGCAGTAGAATGGTGGCTCAAGTGGTAGAGGGTCAGCCATGAACTGAGAAAATCCAAGTGAGAGCAAATCCCTGCTTTCCAGGCCCTGTACCAGTACCTAAAACAAAACAGCGTTAAAACAAAACAGGGGCTGGGAAGGTGGCTCAGTGGTAGAGTGCTCGCCTAGCATGCATGAAGCGTTGGGTTCAATTACTCAGTACCACATACACAGAAAGAGCCGTAGGTCTTGCTGTGGCTCAAGTGGTAGAGTGCTAGCCTTGAGCAAAAGAAGCCCTGGGACAGGGCCCAGGCCTTGAGTTCAAGCTCCAAGACAGGAAAAAAACAAAAAAACAAAAAATAACCCTACATGGACCAGTCACTGAGAAATCCAAACCAAGCACTTCCCACAATTACCCAATGGAATCAAGTCAAGTCAAGCTGAGGAAGTGTGTACTGTGTTTATTCCAACAATGAGTAAACAGACTTGGGTGAACTAACTGAGCAGGTCACCCAGCAGTTAAATGACAGCGCCAGGGCTGGAACCCCGGCAGGTCAATGGCTTTCAGGCGCTTCCAGTTCTGATTCTATCTGGAAGTTCCGTTCTTACCTCAGATTCAACTTGCCAAAACCATCATTTGTGGGGACACCTGCTGCCACTGTTGGAGCGTGGCTGGTCCCTTCTGAAACCTGAGAGGAACGAAGGTTGCCAAGCTGGAGTTTGGAGGTGGGGCCTTTAAGAGGCGATTAGGTCATTACTAAGGATTAATGCCTTTCTCAAGGACTGCATTCATTCTTGAGAGACTGGCTTGGTGATCCCCAGAGCAGGTTATTAGAGAGTAAGGCAGGCCCTCCTGGCTTTCTACCTCTTCTGGAAACACCTTCTTCTTCCACCATCCAAGTTGAGATGAAGTTGTAAGAGGCCAGATGGGGTTCCAGATCTTAGACTTGTAGCCTCCAGAGGCAGGAGCTAAATGTTCGTTTGTTTTGAGGGTCATGGGACTTGAACTCAGGGCCTGAGCACTGTCCCTGAGCTTCTTCTGCTCAAGGCTAGCACCTGAGCACAAGGCTACCACTTGAGCCACAGCACCACTTCTGGCTTTTTCTATGTATGTGGTACTGAAGAATCAAACCCAGGGCTTCATGCATGCTAGGCTACCACTGAGCCACATTTCCAGACCCCTGAGCTATTTTTGCTCAAGTCTAGCACTCTACCATTTCAAGCCACAACTCCACTTTTTTTCTGGTAAGAGTCTCATGGAAGCCAGGCATCGGTGGCTCATGCCTGTAATCCTAGCTATTCAGGACGCTGAGATCTGAGGATCACAGTTCAAAGCCAGCCTGGGAAGGAAAGTCTGTGAGAATCTTATCTCCAATAAACCATTAGAAAACTGGAAGTGGAGGCTGGCAAGGTGGCTCAGTGGTCGAACGCTTGCCTTGCATGCATGAGGCCCTGGGTTCGATTCCTCAGCACCACATAAGCAAAAAGAAAAAAGCCGAAGTGGCGGGGTTGGGAAGGTGGCTCAGTGGTAGAGCATTTGCCTTGCAATGCATGAGGCCCTGGGTTCGATTCCCCAGCACCACATAAGCAAAAAGAAAAAGCCAGAAGTGGCGCTGTGGCTCAAGTGGTAGAGCACTAGCCTTGAGCTGAAGAGCTGAGTGAGGGACAGCGCCCAGGCCCAGAGTTCAGGCCCCACAACAGGACCCAAAAACTAAGTAAATAAATAAAAAATAAAAATAAAAAGAAAAAGAAAACCAGAAGTGGCGTTGTAGCTCAAGCAGTAGAGCGTTCACCTTGAGCTGAAGAGCTGAGGGATAGTGCCCAAGCTGAGAGTTCAAGCCCCATGACCAACAAAAAAATAAATAAATAGTCTCACAGACTTTCTTGCCTGAGCTGGCTTTGAACCATGATCCTCAGATCTCAGTCTCCTGAATAGCTAGGATTACAGTTATGGGCCACTGATGCCCAGCAATATATTGTTTATGCTGATACTGAGACTTGAACTCAGGATCCCACATTCTTGCTTGGCTTTCTTTCTTTTTCCTCCTCCTCCTTCTTTCCTCTTCTTCTTCCTATCCTCCTCCTCCTCCTCCTCTTCTTCCTCTTCTTCCTCCTTCTGCTGGTACTGAGGCTTGAACTCAAGCCATGGTGCTGTTCTTGAGCTTTTTCACTCAAGGCAAGGCTGGTACTCTACCGCTTGAGCCATAGCTCCATTCAAGGTGTGTGTGTGTGTGTGTGTATGTGTGTGTGTGTGTGTGTGTGTGTGTGTGATTAATTAGAGGTAAGAGTCTATGGACTTTCCTGCCTGGACTGGCTTTGAAGGAACCACGGTCCTCAGATCTCAGCGAGGATTACAGGCATGAACCACTGGCACCCAGCTTGCTCAGCTTTCTTGATTATGGCTGGTACTCCATCACTTGAGGCATGCCTACAATCACATTTTGCTGTTTAATCGGAGTTGAACTCTTGCTGACTTTTTTTACCCAGGCTGACTTCTAACCTTGGTTCTCCAAACTCAGCCTCCTGAGTAGCTAGGATTACAGGAATGAATTCCTGGCCCTCCTGGCTACAGCCCCCTTTTATAAAGGACTAAACAACATGGTGGGTGTGGTAGTGTATGTCTTTAATCTCAGCACCTAGGATGCAGGTGTAATGAAACAGGTAGATCAAAAGTTCAAGGCTGCCTGGAATATATAGTGAGACAGTGTCTCAAATAAATTAATTAAAAAAGCTATACCCCTGTCATCCTAGCTACTCAGGAAGCTGAGATCTGAGGATCAAGATTCAAAGCCAACCCAGGTAAGAAAGTCTCTGCAAGTGGAGCTGTGGCTCAAAGTGGTAGAGCCAAGTGAGAGTTTAGGGTCAACGCCCAGCCCCTGAGTTCAAGCCCCTTGACTGCGGGGGGGAAAAAAAAAAAAAGCTTTGTCTGTGTAAACAAATAAATTTAAAACAAACAAAATGCCCTCTGTTTAGAATGCACATATGTCCACACCTGGGCTGAGTCAGGTGGGCAGGATTCCTCCGGAGAGGAAGTAGTTGAATGGGGTAGGGTCACATGAGAACAAACACGGCCCTTGGTCTGGGCGACAGGCATGGTGGACCTGGCTTGACAAATTCTCCTTTACAAGCAAGCACACAGGCCAGGCTCACAGCACCTCAGCCAGCCACAAAGGGGCACTGCCACCAGGAGCTCTCCAAAAAAGAGACCCTGCCAGCCAGGCACTCGCCTGATAGCTGCAGGTAGGAGGCAGAGGGGTCTCAGGTGAGTGGCTCGGGTCCTGTCCCAGCACCGGCCATGGAGCAGGGAAGGGACCCCGTCCTCACAGCACCCAGGGCCCCCTCAGCCTCTTCCCAGGCACGGCAGCCTCTGGATCTTTGTTTGCCTGTATTTTATGTTCCCGTGGGCCCAGCCGCTGCAGAAAGGGGGGCTGGGGCCTGGCTCTGGAGTGCCACTCACTGGCAGAGAAAAGCCAGCAGCCTGGCTTTCCCAGCACCAGACAAAGGCCTGCCTGTTGATCTTTGACCCCCACCCCTCCTAGGCAGCCTTGGCCCTCCTTCCACCTCCCTGCTTTCCTCCGGGCCTCACCCTCTGTTCTGCCATCCCTCTGCTGCCGCCCACACTGGCATTTTCCCCCGGTGCCCTGCTCAGGCCAACCCTTCCATGCTGTCTCCAAACCCTGCTTCCAGCCCCGACGCGGACAGCCCAGCCAAGAGGGTCCAGTGGGCTTCTGAGAAGAGGAGGAGGACATCATCCTCAGACTCAGAGTCCAGAACTCACCTGGACCCCTCCAGGTTGCCCAGGTCTCGGAGACCCAGCCGGCTGACAGTGAAGTACGACCGGGGGCACCTGCAGCGCTGGCTGGAGCTGGAGCAGTGGGTGGATGCCCAGGTACAGGAGCTCTTCCAGGTGAGTGGCATGGGTGCCCAACGGGGGTGCAAGGCCTGCTCAGACACCTCCACAGGAGCTGGAGAGATGATGCGAGGTGTTCCCAGAGACAGCAGAGAGACAGAGAGACAGATAGAGACAAAGACAGAGAAAGAGAGACAGAAAGACAGAGAAAGAGAGACAGAGATAGAGACAAAGAAATAGAGATAGAGACAGACAAAGACAGCGAAAGAGACAGAGATAGAGACAGAGACAAAGACAGAAAGAGACAGAGATAGAGACAGAGACAAAGACAGAAAGAGACAGAGATAGAGACAGAGACAAAGACAGAAAGAGACAGAGATAGAGACAGACAAAGATAGAGAAAGAGACAGAGATAGAGACAGAGACAAAGACAGAAAGGGGGGGGAGAGAGACATCTAGAGAGAGACCTTTTCCTGCAGCTGGCTGGGAAAGGGAATTGTCTTTGTAATCTGGAAAGGCCTTTTAACATCCTGAGACTCTGTCAGCATATGGGGCTCCCAAGGTCTTATGTCTCTTTGGTAGGATTATTTGAAGCTGTAATGACATAGTTAAAGGGAAATGCTACTATAGGCTAGTTTGCTGTATTTTATGTCTGTCTTTTCATTAATTGAAACAAAGTCTCACAGTGTCCTCAGGCTGGTTTCTTAACTCTCAATCCTCCTGCCTGAGCCTCCCAAGTGCTGGGATTACAGGTGTATACCACTACATCTGACATTTTATGTCTTAATATATTCTTCTAGGCTGTGAATGTGGCCTAGTAGTAGAGTGCTTGCCTTGAATGCATGAAGCCCTGGGTTGAATTCCTCAGTACCACATACACAGAAAAAGCCAGAAGTGGGGCTGTGGCTCAAGTGATAGAGTGCTAGTCTTGAGCAAAAGAAGCTCAAGGACACTGCACAGGCCCTGAGTTCAAGCCCCAGGAATGGCTATATATATATATATATATATATATATATATATATATATATATACCTATATATGCATATATACATATATAAAATAATATATATTCTTTTGCTTAGCATATAGACTTGTCTAGAACCATCTTGTCTAGTACTGTAGCTCTCAGCTCTGTGTAGCAATTAACTTTAAATGAATTGGAAATTATGTAAATAGGAAAATTTGGGCCCCCAATCACACTAGCCATATTTTCAAGGGCTCCTGGTCCCATGAATAAATTGTCAGCACAAATGCTGCTGCTTCATTGACAATACCATCCAGTTCTCAGTCTCCTGACTAGCTGGGATTACAGATCCGGTGCCCACCTAGGCCTGTGATTCTTCTCTTGGGGGAGAGCTGTCAGCCTTTCCTTGGTGGGGGTGGGGAGGATTGCTGGATCATGGCGCGGTGTGTCTGGGCGTCTCCTGCAGCGTTCCAGGCTCATTGGTGGAGGGTAGACAGTGGGCAGAACTGGTGGAGAGGTAGACTTTCTTGACCTCTGTCTACTCTGACCTCGCAGAGCACCTCCACCCTGCTTCTAGTACTGTTCCAATTGCAGATTGTTTATTGAACACTCGCACGAAAAGCCTCATATTTCAGACACCCGAGAGCAACTCCGGCCAAGCCTCTGAGCCAGGTGAAGGAGCGGGAAGCTGCACAATAACAAACCCATAACACTGAAAAACAGGCCAGGTGGGGGACCGCTCCCCGGCCGTGGCGGGCATAAAACGCCCGGGCTGTGGTTGCCATGGCCGCTGTCCAAAGGTGCCAGGTGGCAGTTCCTCTCCGTCCGTACGCTTCTCACCAGGAAGCAGCTAAGTGCTGAGGACAACCATGGCAGCCGCTTGTCCTCTGCGGTTCTTCCCTCGCCTCCTGCAGGCTCCGCCCCGCAGGCCGCCTCAGACGGCCCTGGGATGGCTGTGGGTCAAGTGGGACTCAATGTCCCTTGGTTGGAGGGTCGAGCTTTGTCTCCCTTGGGGACGCAGACCGTCTTGGGGTCTTCACAGAAGCCAAACAAACTCAGGAAAACTGGAGGGAGGTGGCTCAGTGGTAGAGCGCTTGCTTCGCATGCATGAGACCCTGGGTTCAATTCCTCAGCACCACATAAGCAGAAAAAAAAAGCCGGAAGTGGCGCTGTGGCTCAAGTGGTAGAGTGCTAGCCTTGAGCTGAAGAGCCTAGGGACAGTGCCCAGGCCCAGAGTTCAGGCCCCATGACCAAAACAAAACAAAAAAACAAACTTGGAGGGAAAAGAACTGGGGCTACGATTTGAACCCATATTATGCACACCTGACTGTGATAGCTATCGTATTTAGCATATATGTTGAATATCCCATTAATGGTATAATAATGATTTTGGAGGCAGAACTCATACTTTCTAGAGGCAAAGTTCTAATCTTTATACTTTATTTCTATTATTCTTCTCTGTACTGTTCCTCTTCTTTTTCTCCTTTTTTTTTTTCCCAATCCTGAAGCTTGGACTCTGGGCCTGTGTGTTTTCCCCGGGCTCTTTTTTTTGCTCAAGGCTAGCATTCTACCACTTTTGTCACATGGGCATTTCCAGCTCTTTCTGTGATTAATTGGAGATAAGTATCCCAGGTAGCAGCACCCTGGTGGCTCACATCTCTAATCCTAGCTTCGCAGGAGGCTGAGATATGAGGATTTTGGCTCAAGGCCAACCAGAGCAGGAAATTGTATGACTCTTATCTCTAACAAACTACTCAGAAAAAGCTGGAAGTTGAGCTAAGGCTCAAGTGGTAGAGTGTTAGCCTTAAACACAGAGAGACTCCGGAGCAGTGCCTAGGCTGTTCAAGTCTCAGGATTGGAAAGAGAGAGAGAGAGAGAGAGGAAGGAAGGAAGGAAGGAAGGAAATCTTATGCATTTTCCTGCCCAAGCTGACCTCAAAAGGCGATCCTCAGATCTTAGCCTCCTGAGTAGCTAGGATTGTAGGTGTGAGCCACTGGCACCCTCCCTCTCTCCCTCTCTTACAGGGAAGAGAGTCTACCACACACAGACAGTCTCATATAAAAAGATGGATTTATTTGGGGAAGTGAAAGGCTGACCGGCCAGGGATACAGCACAGACTCCGGAGCTGACACTGAAACCTTGAGCCGTCCTCAAGCTGGGGTTTTAAAGGCAAAAACACCCTGTGGTTGAGCCTGGCCATAGGCAGGTGGCGATGGCATTGCCAGACACACAGAGAGATTACATAATCGGTGGGCAAACGGTGGGGTCATCTTCCTGTAAGTCTCCCCAAACAGAGGAAGTCCTTTTCAGGAACAAGCTGGTCTGTTACTTTGTGTGTGTGTGTTGTTGTTGTTGTTGTTGGTCATGGGGCCTGGGCGCTGTCCCTCAGCTCTTCAGCTCAAGGCGAGCGCTCTACCACCTGAGCCTCAGCCCCACTTCTGGCTTTTTCTGCTTATGTGGTGCTGAGGAATCGAACCCAGGGCCTCATACATGTGAGGCAAGCGCTCTACCACTGAGCCACCGTCCCAGCCCTCATCTGTCACATTTTATAATGCAAATGGTCCAGCAAGTCATACAATCTTATTATAGCAAGTAGAGGAACTTCCCAGTTTTAACATTCAGACATCAACATTTTAATTTTTAGTGGGAGGGGGGAAGGGGGGAAGCTCCTACTACATTAGAGATGGAGTCAGTTTCTTTTCTTTTGGCTCCTCTTAACATCTCCCACCCTTCCTCCCTTCCTTCCTCCTTCTCTCTCTTCCTTCCTTCCCTCCCTCCTCTTTCTCCTCCTCTTTCTCCTTTCTTCCTTTTTCTCTTTCTCCTCTTCCTCTTCCTTCTCCTCCTTCTATAGGGGTTTTACTAAGGAGCCCAGGATGGCCTTGAACTCACGATCCTCCGGCCTCAGCTTCCCTCCAAGCCCATGAAATAGATCACTTTTTAGTAAATGGTTTCTCTCACTTTTTTCAATCCATGCGGGTTGCATGAATCAGTGCTTCATTCCAGTTATTTATTATTTTTGGCCAGGGGGCTTGAACTCCTGGCCTCAGTGCTGTCCCTGAGCTTCTTTTGCTCAAGTCTAGTGCTCTAACACTTGAGCTACAGGGCCATTTCTGGCTTTCTCTGAGTAGTTTATTGGAGATAAGTGTCTCCTGGACTGTCCAGCCAGGGCTGGCGCAGATCTCTGCCTATTTAGTAGCTAGGATTATAGGCTATGGGTGTTAGCCACCAGTACCCCACCAAACATTATTTTTTACAGAACTCCAACCCTGGGGCTGGGAAGGTGGCTCAGTGGTAGAGTGCTTGCCTTGTGTGCATGAGGCCCTGGGTTTGATTCCTCAGCACCACATAAGCAGAAAAAGCCAGAAGTGGGGCTGAGGCTCAAGTGGTAGAGTGCTGGCCTTGAGCTGAAGAGCTGAGGGACAGCGCCCAGGCCGAGTTCAGCTCCCATGACTGACAAAAAAAGAACTCCAACCCTTTCATCAAGTAGAACGTATGCCTGTTCTGATTAACAGGCGAGGGCTGAGCAGGGGAAATCAGAGGGAGACAAGGTTGGGATATGTCAGCCCCTGATACAACCTCTGCTCCAGCACCAGCTGGGCAGACCTATCTGAGCGCCAGTTTCCTCCCAAATAGGACCATCCATCCCCTTCTGAGCCCGAGATTGACCTGGAGGCACTCATGGAACTCTCCACAGAAGATCAGAAGACTCAGTTGGAGGTAGGTTGGAAGTTTGGGGTCAGGGCTTGGCCACTGGAAGCTGGGTTTAGACCAAGGGAAATCCAAGAACCTGGGATCTCCCTCCTTGGGTGGTAAGGGGAGAAGCATGCAGAGGGGAGAGAATTCTTGGTTCACTAGTGGGGCTTGTGGGATAGTTCTGCGGCTTGGGGAACCTACTCTCTGTTCTCTTCTCCCCAGGCCATTCTTCAAAACTGTCCTCGCCCCACAGAGGTAAGAAAGTTCTGCTGGTCTGGGGGTAAGAGGAGACCCTGAAGAGGAGGGCTTCTAGTGAAGAGGAATATTTGAAAGAGAGGCTTGGGGTCAGACAGGGTAACTCAAGCCTTTAATCCTTGTTTTTTGGGAGGCAGAGATCATTGGATCATGCTTTGAGGCCAGCCTAGGGAATAAAAAATTCGTAAGACTAGATTTTAAGAAATGTCTGGGCCAGGGGCTGGGAAGGTGGCTCAGTGGTAGAGCGCTTGCTTTGCATGCATGAGGCCCTGAGTTTGATTCCTCAGCACCACATAAGCAAAAAGAAAAAAGCTGGAAGTAGTGCTGTGGCTCAGGTGATAGAGCACTAGCCTTGAGCTGAAGAGCTGAGGGACAGCACCCAGGCCCAGAGTTCAGGCCCCACGACCAGACACCCCCCCCCAAAAAAAAAAAGAAAAAGAAATGTCTGGGCCAGGCACTGGTGGCTCACACCTGTAATCCTAGCTACTAAGGAGGCTGAGATCTGAAGATCACGGTTCAAAGCCAGCCTGAGCAGGAAAATCCATGAGAATCTTGGTTTTTTTTTTTTTTTTTGGGTCCGGTTGTGGGGCTTGAACTCTGGGCCTGGGTGCTGTCCCTCAGCATTTCAGCTCAAGGCTAGTTCTCTACCACTTGAGCCACAGCACCACTTCCGGCTTTTTTTCTTTTTGGTTATGTGGTGCTGAGGAATCGAACCCAGGGACTCATGCATGCAAGGCAAGCACTGAGCCACCTTCCCAGCCGCCCCCCCTCCCCCACTTTTTGTCAGTTTTGGGGTTTGAACTCTGGGCATTGGTGCTGTTCTCAGCTCTTCAACTCAAGGCTAGCACTCTACCACTTTAGCCACAGTGCCACTTCTGGTTTTCTGGTGGTTTATTGGAGATAAGAGACTCATGGACGGGGCTGGGAAGGTAGCTCAGCGGTAGAGTGCATGCCTTGCAAGCATGAGGCCCTGGGTTCGATTCCTCAGCACCACATAAACAGAAAAAGCCGGAAGTGGTGCTGTGGCTCCAGTGGTAGAGCGCTAGCCTTGAGCGGAAGAGTTGAAGGACAGTGCCCAGGCCCAGAGAAAAAAAAAAAAAAAGAGAGACTCATGGACTTTCCTGCCCGGGCTGGCTTTGAACTGTGATCCTCAGATCTTAGTCTCCTGAGTAGCTAGGATTTACAGGCATGAGCCACTGGCACCCACTAAGTCTGGGAGACTCTTATCTTCGATTGTAAAAAGCTGGAAGTGGAGATGTGGCTCAGGTGGTACAACACCTGGTTAGCAAGTGCAAGGCCCTGAATGCAAACTCTAGCACTTTCAAAGTTAAATAATAACACAAAGGTTGGCCCTGGATCTTTCTCCTCCCTGGCTCTGAGACAAGATCATAAAGGGATTTAGGAAAGGCTGGGGAAAGAGGAAGAGAGAAGTGTGATGGGTGGGCATGGATTCTTCACCTCACTTTTATCTTTTCTCCTTCAGCCTTTTATCTCTGAGCTGCTCAGTCAACTCAAGAAACTCCGCAGACTCAGCAGGCCTCAGAAGTAGCCTGGAGATTCAACAGCTCGAATACCACCAGGCTTTCCTGGCGGGGTACCAGCTGGGAGGGAAACGGCTGTACAGGACATGGACAGAATATGCAGGATGAGGAGGGACATTTGTATGCCCTGGAATATGTGCTCTCACAGCTAGATTCGAATGGCTGCGCTTCTGGGAACCATTGGCTATTGTCTAATGCATACCTTGGTAGCAAGTGGATAAAACTTTCAGGAATCCCAGCTAAATGGAATGTTGTGCAGATCTGTATTGAAGGGACAGCCGAAGGGAGAAGGTGAAGTGATACCTTGGAAGACCAACATCTAAGGCACTAGGCAGTACCCACACAACTCACCCCACCCACCCACCCACCCACCCATCCATCCATCCATCCATCCACCCACCCACCCACTCACCCATACATCTTCTACCCATCTATCCACCCACCCATTCAAATAAGTCTTAAAAATCCAAAAATGAGCCAGGGGCTGGTGGCTCACACCCATAATTCTAGCTACTTGAGAGGCTGAGAAAAATCAGAGACAGAAAAATCATGAGACCCTTCTTAAACCACAGCTGGTTGCAATGGTACGAATGTGTCATAGAGCTATGTGGGAGGCTGAGATTGGGAGGTTCGAGGTTCTAGGCTAGCCCAGGCAGAAGTCTGTGAGAATCTTGTCTCCACAGAAGGGAAGCTAGAGGAGGTGGTGTGTGCCTGTGACTCCTGCTGAGAAGCCTAATAGGCTGATCACGGGTGGGGAAATGAAGTCCTCAGTTCAAAATCCCCAGTGATCCCTCACCCCACAAATGGAATTCACAAGGGAAGTTCTCAGCTCTACTTTGAGATCATATTCTAGTAAGGCCCTCAGGCCCAATCTGGCTAAGATACACAGCATCCTGACATCATCAAGAGGAGTCCAAGTGACGAAGATGATTCTGAATCCCGGGGGCATCTGGGAAGGCTAATCCCTCCTCCACACACAACTGATGCAGGTGGCCTCAGGTGTGTGTGGGGTCTCTCTCCCTCTCTTGGGTTGGCACTAGTGGGGGACGAAAGAACACAGAGGCTGCCAGGCGCTGGTGGCTCACATCTGGAATCCTAGCTACTCAGGAGGCTGAGAGCTGAGGATCACAGTTCAAACCCAGTCCGGGCAGGAAAGTCTGTGAAACTGTTACCTCCAATAAACCACCAGAAAACCGGAAGTGGCATTGTAGCTCAAGTGGTAGAGTGCTAGCCTTGAGCTGAAATGCGCAGGGACAGCGCTCAGGCCCAAGTTCAAGCCTCATTACTGGAAAACAAAACAAAACAAACCGAGAGGGTCTGTAGAGGAGAGTATGTGTCACAGGGTATGGGTCCCGGCACTGGTCAAGACTTGGGTGAGAGTCTATGGTAGGAGGCTTGGGACGGGAGCCCTGAGCCGAGCCCTCCTCAGTGAATAAGGAAGTTGCCTGTGCGTGCAGGAAGCAGTTTGGAGGAATGAATATTCCTATGTACTTTTCATGAGGCCCCTGGGGTGGGTGGGACTGTACCTGCTGGGAGGGGCTAGCGGGATGGCTCAGCCTCTTTTCTCATTCTGGAATTGTGCTTATGGCCTGCTCTGTTCTGCCTTTACCACCTCACAGGGCGAGAGGTCTAGAGATCTCAGTGTACCTCAGTGAAAAATATATGCTTAGCACATGTGATGTTCTGGGCTCACATCTCAATACCACTCCGGAAAAAAAGAGAGAAACTGCACTCAATGAATCAACAGACTTTATTAGATCCATAACATGTCAGGGTAGGGCCCTGGACCTTGAGTCAGGCTGCCGGCTCCTCCTCAGGAGGAGGAGCTTCCTCCTAAGGAGCCTTAGGTTCTTTCTGGTCTGGGGACCTAGCTCAAGCGGTAGAGCACCTGATTAGCAAGCATGAGCTCCTGAGTTCAAACGCCAGTGCTGTCTTCCCCATCCTGTCTCTCCCTTTCATTCTAGGCTTCTTGGAGAAGGACCTCCTCTGCTTCTCTTTCCCTCTGACTTCTCCAGGCATCCTCTCCAAAGGGACACTGAGGCTCGGGCTGTGGTGTGCCTGGTCCGCTGCCCCTGGTTGCTGAGATTGGCTCCAGAGGTAAGAGCCCGGCCTGCAGGCCGCCGGTATCCCTGCCTTCCCTGGAGGGCCAGGTTTCCCTCAGTGCTCACTCATGGCTGTTTCGTGCTGGGTGGTAGGCGGACACTTGGTGCTCTTTAAGCTCAAAGGCATCATGGCCCTCCCTGTAGAGCAAAGGGATGCAGGTCAAGAATCACAGGCAGACCTCCTGCCCCCCCAGAACATTCTACCTGCACGCACCGGAAGCAGCGGGCACAGTAGAGGTCTCCGTCGCAGCCCGCGCAGCGCAGTGTGGCATCCTCATTGCAGATGCAGCACCAGGGCAGCTCCTCCTCCTCACACTCAGGCCTGGGAGCCACAGCCTGGGCCTTCGGGAGCTTGGGAAAGTGGGAGCGGTCAGCCAGGCAGGGAAGCAGGCAGGGGGAGGCCCGGAATGTGCGTCTGGGGGCTTTTCTCACCTCAGACTTTGCCGAGAAGGGCTTGGGTCGGGAGCGGGGAGCACGCTCCTCAGGGATGTTGTAACCACTTGCCTCGTCCAGGGCAGCTTCTTCAGAGAGCTACGGACAGGCGAAACGGTGCTACTCCCTGCTCCAGGTCAAGCTCCCTGTCCCAGGATTTCTGTGCTCTGGCTTCAGCCTCTCAACTCCTCATTTACCTCTTTTTTTTGGAGGGGGGTTGGGGTGGGGTGGGAGACTGGTCACATGGCTTGAACTCAGGGCCCAGGTGCTGTCCCTCAGCTTTTGTGCTCAAGGCTAGTGTTCTACCACTTTGAACCACAGTACCACTTCCAGCCATTTTGGTGGTTAACTGGAGTAAGAACCTCACACTTCCCTGTCCAGGCTGGCTTTAAACCTCTATTCTCAGATCTCAGCGCGCGCGTGCGCGTGCGTTGGGGCTTGAGTGCTGACCCTCAGCTCTTCAGCTCAAGGCCAGCACTCTACGGCTTGAGCCACAGCGACACTTCCGGTTTTCTGGTGGTTTACTGGAGATAAGAGTCTCTTGGACTTTCCTGCCCAGGCTGGCTTTGAAACGTGCTCCTCAGATCTCAGCCTCCTGAGTAGCTAGGATTACAGGCTTGAGCCACCGGCACCTGGCAGATCTCAGGCTCTTGAGTAGCTAGGATTAGGTATGAGCCACTGGTGCCTGGCTTCTAGTTTACCTCTTGCCTGCAGGTGCTGATTTCCCATCTCAAGGGAGCAAGGAACAGTAGGGTCCCAACTAGAACAGGAGCTACAGAACCACTGTCCATCCAGCCCTAGAGTGGAGGCCAGGCGAAGGGGGCCAGCAGGGAGGCAGGGAGGCGTGAATGGTGCCCAAGCCAGGCCCACCTGCTGCATGACTCTCCGGATGGCAGTCTCCTCATCCTCCTCGTCGTCACTGTCTGGAAGGCGATAGTCCTGCAGGGTCACTTGAATAAGGGAGAGAGAGGAATAGGAGAGGAGTGAGGGTGGGTAGTTTTACCTAATGGCTGACCATTTGCTTCCAGAACTGGCTCATTTCCCAGGAGTGCTTGTTCAGAGCTGAGAAGCCTCCTTACCCACCCTGATCACACCTTGTCCCTCCCTCCCTGACTCCTGCAGACTGGGCCACCATCACTCAAGCAGCCCTAAGTGTAGAGTAGGAAAAGCAGCCTCAGCATCCCAGGGGATGGAAGGTCCCCCTGCTCTGGGATGGTCATGACTCATGGCAGGCTGGACACAGGGACCCCTAGCACCTGCCTCAGCCCTGGCAAGGAAGGTGGCCTAGGGAGACTTGCCTTGGCCAATGGACACCAGTGCGTACCTTTGTCAGGGTCTTGTCCCCGCAGCACAGCTAGCCGCTTGGCCAGGGCCAGGACGCGCTCCTGCCTGGTGTTCTCCTCCCGTAGCTCCACCGCAGCCTGGGCCAGCAGCCTGCTCTTCTCCTCCTCCAGGGACTGGCTGGCCTGCCCCTGGGAATTAGTACATGGGTTCCCAGCACCACCCTGGTTGAGGTCATTCTGGAGGGAGGCAGCTGGTAGGAGTAATGAAGTCAGGGAGGCATGTGAAGATCCTACCCTAGATACCTCTAAGCCCATTCTCAACTCTGTGTGTGTGTGTGTGCGCGCATGTGTGCGTGTGCGTGTATGTGTGCGTGTGCGCGCGCATGTGTGCGTGCGTGCATGTGTGTATGTATTTTGTGTGTGTGCCAGTTCTGGGGTTTGAACTTAAGAGCCTGAGCACTGGTTCCTGAGATTTTGTACTCAGGGTTAGCACTCTACCACTTGAGCCACAGCTTTACTTCCAGCTTTTTGGTGGTTAATTAGAAATAAGAGTCTTGTGGACTCTTATCTCAGATCCCAGATCCCAGGCTCCTGAGTAGCTACGATTGTAGGCTTGAGCCACCAGTGCCCAGCTTCCAGTAGAATTTCCTATGAGGAGATCACAACAGTTACTATGAGCCAGACACGGTCCCAAGCACTTATTAGATCAGCTAATTTGCTCCTCTGGACTCCCTCACGAGATACCACACATGAAAAAGTGAGGGGCCACAGGCTTTGATAGGCCGGGAGTCACTGGCTGATTCTAAAGCCAAAAAACAGGACCATCAGGACTACTCTGGCTCTCTTTGGAGTAAGTAAATGGTACCTGTTTAATATTGATCGCTATAGTCATCTCCCAAAGGTGTACACAGTGGAGCAAGAGGCAGGGCGTATGACCCCCAAGGAGTGAAGTGCAGCGGTTACCTGGGCCTCCTTGTTCCAAGCTCTCATCGATAGCCCCCTCAGCCGCCAGCTCTGTTAGCAGACCCTGCGTCTGCTCAGCCATGGTCCTGGTATCTGGTGTCCAGCGTGTCTGTGCAGAGGAGGGCAGCTCAGTGGGCGATAGGAGTGTGGGAAAGGCCACAACCCAAGTCCAGGAACAGCCTGGGTCTGGGGCGGATGCTGAGAAGTTCTCAAAGCCCGGGGAAAGGGATGAGTTCAAGGTTCGTACAACTGAGTGGACCTGGCAGTCCCCTCGACAGCACCGAGTGTCCCATGGCCTGCCT